GTACATGAAAAATAACAACTTTTAATTCCATTTTCCCATGAACATTTTTGAAGCACCCTTGTGCTACAAAGATGGTAAAATCTTCATTGCCTAATTTGCATCCTGATGTGAGAGGGTGCAATAACCTCTGGTAATTGCCCCTTCTCCCCTCCCAGCCTCATTTTGTCTGGGGTTAGGGCCTAACCCTTGATAACACTGTGGTTAAATTGTTCAGCTGCTAAACAAAAGATGAGGGGGTTGAACCCACCCAGAGTTCTGCTGAAGAAAATTGTAGCAACCTACTTCTAATATTAGTCACTATGAGTTAGAAGCAACCCAACAGAGATGAGTTTGTTTGTTTTTCCCACTGTTGTAATAATTTGCATTTCTCACTCAGGTGCTGCTGGTGCCAGTGTCTGGGCATTAAGACTGGGGAAAAGGGAAAAGGGCACTGGCTCTTCTTAATCCATCAACTCATTCATCCCCAAACAGAAAATGCTAAAACTCCAGAAGAAATTAAGCAGCTTGAACTGATTTCACAAAAGCTGTTTATTCTCCCTAAATATACACTTTCAGTGGCTCTATAATCCATAGCCTATAGCATTAGTCACCTGGTTGCTTTCCGTGTGACTGTCCTTCTGATTGCATTCTGACCTGTAAGAAAATCTCTCCTGGTCGTCAGCACCATGCCTTGTCAGATATGAAAAGCATCACCGGCTAGTCTGGCAGAATTCACAGAGTAGACCCAACACTTTAAATGTTGCCCGAAGAAATTGACATTATTACACGTTACTTTTCAATTGGTTAAAAAAAAAAGCAGTAGAAAGCAAATGTTTTGAAAATGATGATGGCAACAAATGTACAAATGTGCTTGACACAATGGATGCATGTATGGATTGTGATAAGAATTGTTCGAGCCCCCAATAAAATGATTAAAAATAAAAAACAGCTTAAAATTAAAAATAAAATAAAATGCTCAGTCCAAACAAGAGTCAACATAAAAGAATGGAAATACTGTGGAAAAAGACAATAGTTCTACATATTATTTCTCTGAACCTTCAATAGGGTGGGTAAGACTGCTGTAATTTGGAGGTAAAAACTATCCCTGGAGTCCTATGGCCTTGTGGCTCTGCATTGAGCTGCTAACCTAAAGTCAGCAGTTCCAAACCACCAACTGCTCTGGGGAAGAGAGAGATGGCTTTCTACTCCTGTAAAGGGTTACAGTCTCAGAAACCCACAGGGGCAGTTCTACCCTGTCCTATAGGGTCTCTTTGAGTCGACATCATCTCGGTGGCAGTGAGTTTGGTTGTAAATTTAAGAACAAGGCATCACATTGCCTGGGCTCAGCACAGGCTCAACCTACCAACCAATTCTGTAGGGCCTCAGTCTCCTACAGCAGAGAATGGAAGAAACTACCTGCTCCATAATGCTGCTTCCATGATAACGTGAGCTGACACACATTCAGGTCTCCTATTAAGCACTGTGCCTTTTGAACAGATGAAAAACTCAAGTGATACTAGATACTGGAACATCCTTGGAGCTAATCAAGCAATTCTGTAAGTATCTGAAGCTGACAGCAGACTTTTCATTGGATTACTCTGCTATTTTAAATCCTAGCAATTCAGTCCTGCCTTAATTGAGTGTATTTCCTTGCAATAAAGACACCTCACAGCCTGGGTTTTTCATTCTGTGTAACATCAAACATGGGAGGCTCCTCTCATGGCCATCACTGCAAAAGGCGGGGCTTCAAAAAGTCCATGGACAAATTTTATTATCTGTAAACTCCATTCTCCTACAAACTGTTTGAAGTTTCCTTGTAGACCAAATGACAGAGGTGTTCTTGATTGTTTATTATTCCCATGAGTCAGAAGGAATGGAATGATTTTCCTCTGAAAGTGGAATTTGGCAGCAACAGGGAACCCAGTGGGTGGGTTGCAGGGAGTGCACCAGCTTTGACCACAGGGGGCTGGGGCCCGGGTGGGACTCATTCTTGGCTCCCAGGGAACTCCTTTGTTCTTAGCTGCTTTGGTATCCAATTCATGCCGACCTTACAACAGAGTGTCTTAAGACTGGAGGCGCAGCTAAAATCAGCTCAGGATCAGAATCTTTTTTAAAAGGACACCAAACTCTGCCACTGAGTCCATTCCTACTCCCAGTGGCCCCTGAGGCAGAGAGAACGGCCAAAGCTGGAATCTTACAGAAACAGACTGCCACCCTTTCTCCTGGGGACCGTTGACCTTTTGGGCAGTGGAGCTTAACCACTGTGGTGCCAGAACTTCTTCTCAGATTCCCCAGTCAATACAAATTCACAGGTCAAGGCCAATTCTTCTGGAAGTCAAAAAACAAACTCACTGCCACTGACTCGGTTCTGACTTAGAGTGACCCTATAGGACGGGGTAGAATTGCTCCTGTCCGGTGGTTTTCCAGAGTCTAGAACTTTACAGGAGTAGAAAGCTTCATCTTTTGCCCAAGGAGGAGAGGCTGGTGGTTTTGAACCACTGAACTTGCTGCTAGCAGCCCAACACTTGAATGTTAGCAGCCTGGGGGCGCTGTCGGGTACAGGTCTTCAGCTCAAAGGCAGCAGTAGCTGGTTCCCGGGGAGAAAGATGCAGCTCTCTGCTCCTGTAAAGAGTCAAAGCCCAGACACGCTACCCCAGTGGTTCTAACCTTCCTACTGCCACCACCCTTTAATACGGTTCCTCGTGTTGGGGTGGCCCCCAACCATAAAATTATTTTCGTTGCTACTTCATCACTGTCATTTTGCTACTGTTATGAATCGGGCGACCCCTGTGAAAGGGGTTGTGACCCACAGGTTGAGAACTGCTGCCCTACACTCTGAGTCAGGAGTTGATTTGATGGCGGTGGGTTCATTAGAATTTTTTTTTAATTCTTATTTTTTAAAGATCATTTTATTGGAGGCTCTTACAGCTCTTATGATAATCCATACATCAATTGTATCAAACATATCTGTACATATGTTGCCACCATTATTTCTAAACATTTACTTTCTATTTGAGCCCTTGGTATCAGCTCCTCTTTATTCCCTCCCTTCTCCCTCCCACCCTCATGACCCCTTGATTTATGCTTTCCATATCTTACACTGACCGCTGTCTCTTCCCCCACAGTTTCTGTTGTCCCTCCCTCTGGGAGGTGGGGAGGAATGTGTTGATTATTGTGATGGGATCCCCTTCCTCCCCTCTTCTCCCTATCTTCCCCTTTCCCTCCTGGTATCCCTACTCCCCTTTCTGTTCCTGAGAGTTTATCTGACCTGGATTCCATGTGTCTTGAACTCATATCTGTGCCAGTGCACATGCTCCGGTCTAGCCCGAAGTTCATCAGAATTCTGAAAGATTTCCTTTTTAAAAAACTTATCCTGTCCTTACAGAGGGGTAACCCTGCCTGAAATACCCTGCTATTTATCAGCTATTCCTTAATGGGCTTCAAGACATTACCACCACCACCACCCCCGTTCCAAGCCTGCCTTCCACACAACTCAACGCAGGGCAAGGCACCTACCTATCTTCCTACACAGCAC